TTGGTTTTTTGGCTTTTTTGACTTTTTTTGTGAGAGAAGAATGTAATGATTATAGGTTGGATGTGATGTTTTGTTTGTTATGGCTAAAATAGCCTATTTTATTTTTTATGACTAAAATAGCCAAAAAAGTCTGAAAACTATCTTGCCAAACAGAGGCTAAATGATGTCATCTCAGTTATTGCCAAGTTATTTTTTTTGGCTTTGACATCATCAATTGCTAGACTTTCCTTTATCAATGGAAAAATTATACAATGCTTATGACGTATCACGTGATTATATTTTCTCACTAAGTGTTTGTTTGATATGTACTAAAAAAGTATATTTTTTTTACATATATATACTTATTTAAATCATATCAATTAATATTTATCAACATTTTTTATATTTTTTTACTTATTTTCTTTATTTTTTACATATTTTTTTTTATAAAAAATTTAAAAATATATTTATTTAGAACATTTTAAATCACTCATAATTATTATTTATTATATCTTTTTATATTTCTCAATCACTTAACACAAATAATTAATATTTTATTTTTTCTATCATATTACTTAGAGCACCACAGATTATCCAATAATCACACGACGCAAAAGTCTAAAGAGGCACCAAATTTCTTTGATTGCTTTTCTTGATCGAAAAAAGGAAAAACAATAATCAAAACAAAAAACACTTTGTCCCGGGATCAGTGCGGGCACACGGTGCATGCCAGTAGCATTTCTTAGTAATGTAGGGGCTCATTTGGAACCTGAATCGGCGTGTTTGGTTTGAATTTTTTGAATTAAGTTTTTTAAAAATTGAATTTTTTAATTTTTGTGTTGTGTTTTTTTTTATTTTTAGTGAATATTTTTAAAATTTTAAACACTTTTTTTACTTTTTTAGATACACCTTACTTAGATGTATCAAAAAAGTAAAAAATTTGTGAAAAAATATTTTTAAAAATTAATAAATACATAAAAATATAAAAAAATGTATTGAATTCTCGTATTTTTTTTGTATTTTTGGTATTTAGTGAATATTTAAAAGGTTTTTTTTTTAATTTTTTTTTTACTTTTTAGGTATATTTATATTAGGTATGTCTAAAAATTAAAAAAATTGCTCAAAATATTAAAAAAATTCAGTAAAAACAAAAAAATACGAAAAATAAGAAAATAGAATTTTCTGAAAAGTGTTTTTGAAAAATAATAACCAAGCATAGTGATTGTATTTATTTATATAATGTTGTATCATTTTTACACTTGAAATGTATTTTTTTCGTTCTAACAAGTGAAACACAATTTTATGAGTAAAAAATAGGATAAATTTCACGTGAATGGGTATTTGAAAAATTATTTGTAAATAAATAATAAAATCTGTAATATTATTAAATTATGAAGCATTTTGGCAATAAGTTAAAAAAATTAATTTTTTGACTTTTTAATTATTTTAGTTAAAAAGTCAATTTTTTTATTCAAAAAAATTTAATTTTTTTGTCAAAAAAATTACTAAAAAAATTAAAAAATTAATTTTTTTTTTATCAATTTCTCAAAACACTTCTATATATATATATATATATATATTTTGAAGTTTTATAGAAGTATCACGTATCAAGTGAGATTAGCATGCTAGTACGGTATATATGTGATAGTGATTTTGACACGACATGGTTAGTAGTTTTTCTTTCTTTTGCTTTCTCGTCTTTTCATAGTTTTGACACTTTTCGTATATGGTCAGCAATTTGGCGCGCCTGTCTGCCTGCGCTCTCTAATGTTTTGTCTTCTTGTTTGATGCATCAAAGACCATGTCATGTACCATACATATTACACCACCCCACTTTCAGCTCTCGTTTACAATTTTTCTATTTTAATTATTTTATTTATGAGGAAAAAAAAATGTAAAGGATGATTTGTGAATTTTTTTAGTAAAATTGATAGTTGTAATAAAATAAGTGATTAATTGATATATAAAATGTGATATGTTATTTTATTGATTATTTTAATTTTTTTTAGTCAAAAATCATTATCCCATACACCATGAGATAGACCAATTTTTATCCAATCTGATCTCCCTTTTATATTAAGCTCCGTTTGGGAAGAGCTATTTGGGGTTTTTTTTGACTATTTTAGTTATAAAAGACAAAATATGTTATTTTAGTCATAAAAAATAAAATATCACATCAAACCTATAATCATTACACTATTCTCTCACAAAAAAAGTCAAAAAAAAATTAAAAAATCAAAAAGTCAAAAAATTCTTTTCAAATCAAGCCTTTTAGTCCAGATTAAAATAGTTAAAAAAATCAAAAAAATCAACTCACTTCTTAAACGAAGGCTAATTAAGCTAATTGAGTCCTATTCCCACCCTCATAATATGCACTAGAAGTTTCCAAAATTATCCCTTTGGGATTCGAATTTATTTTATAAATAAATTTTATATTATATAAATATAATTTTTATCATACAATTATTCATTAAAAAAAATCTGAATGATTTTATTTGGTCCTAGACTTTTTCCATGCACCATAATACCATATGTCGTCGGTACTGTATTACTGGCCCCCACCAACCGAAAGGATATTTGGTACCATTTCGTTTCGTAGAGTCACTATAGGCAATTAGTTATTATTTATTCGGTTGGTGGGGGAGGATTGATTGACGCTACTTAGCCTCCGTTTGGGAAGTGGGTTGGCTTTTTGACTTTTTTGGTTATTTTAGCTTGGGCTTAAAAGCTTGGTTTGGAAATGGCTTTTTGGCTTTTTGGCTTTTTTGAGTTTTTTTGTGAGAGAATAATGTAATGATTATGGGTTGGATGTGATGTTTTGTTTTGTTTGTTATGGCTAAAATAGCCTATTTTGTTTTTGTTTTTTGTGGCTAAAATAGCCAAAAAAACCCAAACTATGGCTTCCCAAACGAACCCTTATTATATCAGCAGTGATGCATATCTCCAGTGGGTTGAAACTTAAAAAAAAAAAAAAGTTTTTTTTTTGGCCAATAATGGAGTGCCACTTCACTGGGGGTCGACTCCCAGTGGGTGTACGAGGCATTTTTCTTATTATATATGTATGTTGGTCAATCGTTTAGACGATCGGTGTACAGTGCAATTCTTGTTTATTGTGATTGATATTCTTATTATTAAATGACTGATCGGACAATTGACTTAGAGCTATTTTGGAAAGTGGGTTAAAAGTCACTTCCCAGCTTTTAACCCACTTCACTCTCTCACAAAAAAGTCAAAAAATAACTTTTAACCATCTTTTCAAAACACCCCTTACACAAATTCGACAATTTAGACAAAATTCAATAAATATAAAATTGTCTATATGATATTTGTGTAGTTATTTTAAAAAAAATTAATAAAATGTACTATTTTTTAAAATTTTAATCAATAAATACTAATGGCACACTACATCTACATGGATGGATTTGTTCAACAACTACTGAAGTTATTTAGAATGATTTAAATAAGTGTATTTTGAAATTTTTTATGAAAAAATGTGTAGAAAAATAAAAAAATAATATAATTTAAAAAAGATAAAAAGTATATTTATTACACTCTAAATAAGTTTTATTTTTGACTAAGGGAATTTAACAAGTATTATCAATAGCCCATAGTGATTAGTGTTGTAAAATGACATTGTAAGACATCAAATAATCACTCCAAATCATGGTCCATTACAATGCCCCGTTGATGATTACTGCGAAATGAATCTGTCTGTACCCCTATCTGAAACCTGAAGCCGGGTCCCACCCACCCAGCCAATAATTTTTCACCAGCCACTGTACAGAAAATTCTGGCAACTGTTGATTACTTCTACTTATTTGTTTGAGATTTGAGAAGGGTTAGAGAAGTGGTAATTTTGTAAAATTTTCAAATATATTATTAATGAAAAATTTAATTTAATCTAATAATTGTATTTTTTTTAGGGAGACAAACTGTTGTTGAGTGTGAATATGGCAGTCCAAATCCTCTCCTTGAATTTTCTTTACTTAGCTCCCTGCTTAGTAGGTCATTGTGCTCATTTTTTGGTCTAATTTCGATAATTTAAACCGTTTATATTTTAGAATATGTCGAGTATATTATATTTATAAAAAATTAAATTAATCAGATATTAAAAATGATGTTTTCAGATTATCAAACCCAAAGTTTTAAAAGGCTTTCTTGAGGCTCCCCCCGGGCTCGCCTCGATGCTCGCCTTGCCTTGAGGCTAAGGTAAAACGCATCAAGGCTTTGATTTTTAGGCATTACTCCCTAAAGGTTTGCACATCATAGTTTAAGACATGCATCTTAAGTGCGCTTTTTATGCTTTTTGCGCATAAGCATGTGAGGAGTATGCACATGAAGAAGTTGCCTTGGGCATTTGTTAAACTTAGTCTATTAGATTGTTTAAATATAAAAAAATTAAAAAGAATCCATTGTTACAACTATATTCTGCAGGAAAAATTAAGTAAATGATCAATCAAGAAAAACACAATTAATGGTCAAGTGAGAAGCTCAATCATTGAAGTTAAGAATATCGATTTCTCTTTCAGTGAAGGAAAACTTCCTTCTATGTAGTAAAATGTTCAATGCATTAAAGCGAAAAGTATTTACATATTTATATTTAATTTTGTTTTTATTTTTTTAACTATTTAAAAATATTTAATTTATTCAGTAAATATTAAAATTTGAAATTTGAAATGCTTACGCCTCAACGCCCTGAGGCTTACGCCTCGCCTCATGAGAGATAAAACGCCTTAAAGGACGCATTTGCCTTTAAAAACTTTGATCAAACCAAAATTTGTTTATTAACAGAAATTTAATAAACAGTTTTATTTTTTAATAAAATGATTTTTAATTTGATGATCCAATGTTCAATATTTGATTGATTGGATTTTTTTACAAGTACATTTGGTAGGCAAGTAGTGAAGGTACAAGGAGAATCTGGACTCTGAATATGGAGCAATGGCGTTGGACATTGAATAATTTCTGAATTGGGGCAAACAATAAAGTGTTTGTGTGTTTGGTGGGTGGGATTGTTGCAGGATTGCTGGACAATGGTGATTTCGAGACCCCTCCAGCCGGTGGGTTCTCAAACCTGGGATTAGGAGGAAGAGGAGATGGTCCGACGGCAATCCCAAGCTGGAAAACGAACGGGACAGTGGAGGCGGTGGAGTCAGGGCAGAAACAGGGCGGGATGATCCTGATAGTCCCCCAGGGTAGACATGCTGTGAGGCTGGGCAATGACGCCGAGATCAGCCAGGATATGAAGGTGGAAAAGGGTTCCCTTTATTCCATAACCTTCAGCGCAGCACGAACATGCGCACAGCTCGAGTCACTCAATGTGTCGGTGCCCCCTGCCTCGCAGACCATTGACTTGCAGACGCTGTACAGCGTCCAGGGATGGGATTCCTATGCCTGGGCTTTCCAGGCTCAAGACGACGTCGTTTCTCTCCTTTTCAGGAACCTCGGCATGGAGGATGACCCCACTTGTGGCCCCATCCTTGATGATGTCGCCGTTAAGAAGCTTTTCACCCCCGATAAACCCAAAGGTAATTACCACTACTTTGCACTGTTATTAAATAATATATACTCTACCTAAATTCATCACATAATATCTGTCTGCTCTTAATTTGTATTTTTTTTTTACTAATTGTGATAGAAACTCCCATACATACATGACCCCCACAACTCCCACTCTCATTCTCACTGCTCATAATGTAGGCGCACATATGAGTGTACTTTATACACATATCAAGGCCAAGATCATGGTGACCAATAAAAAGGGATTCCAAACATTTCTGTTTTCTTTTGTACTTCACATCTCATCCCTGAAATCTGTGTGTAAATCGCACTGATCTTCTTTGGGCTTGGAGAAATATAATAAGTTTGTGATTTTAACATAATTATATTACTATTCTAGTAAAGTTGATGGGACCGAACTAATGCAGATGTTATGCATATATAAAAATAAAAATATAAAATATACATTTGAATATAAAAAGAATAATTATATATATATATATATATATTTTATCCATATAATTAATAAATTTGTTATTAAAAGAGGACTAATCGTTATGTGAATTAAAATATTATGGGAGCCTTAGTGTAATTTACTCTTTTATTTTTCAACTTTTTGTTACTTTTTCTTTTTCTAAATTTTACATAATTTCAGCAGAATGTTTGCCCAACGTTTTAACCAAATTAACAAAAAAATATTAGAATTTTTTTTAAAAAAAAAAAAATCTGATTCTGAATTTTTCTCTAAATATTCCAAGTTTTCAACCAAATTTTTATCCAAATTTTGATCAATTTACTTCAAATTTATTTATTTTGCATTATTATTATTTTTGCATAAATTCAGCAAGTTCACAACCATATGTTAAAACTTGAACTAAATGGTTGGCTGCCCTTTACAATTTCAAAGTAGGAAAATGTCACAAACAATGTACACCAACCAGTAAGAAAAGTTAAGATTTTTGTGGCGAGAGTTACAATTTTTTTAATGGAAGTTGGCTTCAGATCTTCTGTCCCAAGTTTTCTGTCCCAATCTTCTGTACCACCATTCTCCTATTGCCGCATGTTCTTCAGTTAAAATAGACCTCACTTTGTTAAACTCTCCCTTTCTCCTCTCCTTTAACGAGTCAACACGTCTGGTAGATTTCTCAATGGGTTAACTCAGTTTTGTCCTGATACTGCTGCAGCCATGGTGGATTGTCAAAATCATAACTTTCACCATCGACGGAGTTGTGGTCATATGATTTGAGCTAAATATGTTTTAAACCCGAAAAATTGACATCAAAATATGAGAACAAATTAAACCCTAATACAATAGATCATCATCATATTTTGAAACATTGTTATTTTTTAGATTGGATATTTTGAAACATTAAGAATGATAAAAAAGCGATACAAAGGAAAAAGAAAGAAGTGCTAATCGGACATCAACAAATCGTGATGTTATCAGTCATCACCATGGAATTGTAGAGAGAGAAAGCAGAAAAGGACAGCTATGATACTCAAATGAAATCGGACATCACCATGGTATTGTAGATATATATATATATATATATATACAGAATAAAGATAACAGAAAAAAAACACTAGGTTTACAATAATGGCCCCAAAAGTAATAGAATAATGGCTGCAGATGAAGCTCAGCCAAGAACAAGTCGCAACTCGGCTGTGGAACGATTGACTTTGGAGTTTTTTGTTTAGATTGACTTTGGAGTTTAATGGAGTTAAAACTTTAATTTTAAGAGCTGAGCACGTGGCAATATGAGAATACTCCACTTTTATGTGATCAATTCATGGCCACAGGATAATTATGGGATAGAAGATTGAGACATACAAATGGGACAGATGATCCAAACCCATAATATGCATCCTAAAGTTGTGAGTGATAGTTATATTTTTTGTGATAAGCAAAAGGTTACACTTCTGCAATAAAAGTTATACATATCGTGATAACAGTTATATCTTTTGTATAATGTGCATATCATACGCATTCTTTTTTTGAGTGCACATCGTAGCCTTTCCCTTCTAAGTATGCACACTTAATGGTTGTTGTGACAATTGTGCTAAAAAATTAAAAATATTGTGCATTTGCGATTGAGCTTGTAGGGCTCTTGTTTATTTGGGACAAACTATATGTATCTGTGTTCTTGCATGTATGATGTATGTACCTATGAATAAATAAATGAACAATGCTTGGGAGCTCTAATTGAGCACCCACAATCCACCCCCGATGACATGGAATAGACCATGTGAAAGGGGGATCCACACTCATTCCTTCTCCCTCTATCTCTCTATTCTCTGTATCTTCCACCTCATTAGAGGTGAAAATGGGGGTGATGTGGCATTGTTTTGGTATGGTACTAGTAACAATCAAAGTTGCTCTACCAGTAGAGCCAATATTGTCATGTGCACTGTTTTATTGTAGTGCTTTTGCTTTTGAAAAGTGATATACAAGCCCACTTTCTAAATTTATTTTTTAGACCCAGTGATATGTAAGTGAGATGATTGGCTAATGATTGGAGAAAATATGAAAAAGAGAAAGTGGGTCTAACTTTTGAACTTGAATGGCAATGCTCTTTGATATTTTACATCAAATGATTAATTAAAAATCAACTGAATGATTTTAAAGAATAGTTATTAAAGTCATCCTTTGTTTTTGCAGTCAATTGTTGCAAATTTATGTTTAAAATTAAACAATAAAAGTGAACTGATGGCCAAGTCCAGTGGTCAGGCTCTTGCACTGCCAGCCCATCAATGTGGTTTTTAATCCCTGCTTCCCATGCCCTTCCAAATGGGGTTGCCGTAAAATAGTTTGTCTACCATTCATTGTACTGGTCTTGGCAATGTCATTGGTCATGAAGAATCATAAGTTGATACTGGTATACCAACTCCAATAAGAAGGAAGGATTGCAACATTTTTAGTTGCGCAAAATGGTATAATCAAACATTGGTTTTGGGGTGTACTGTATGACTGCTGGATTAGATAGTTAAACAATATGTACTTGGACGAGCATTAGTCTTTTTATTTATATTGTTCTTCAGTGCAAATACTTTCTTATATCACTGAAACTACAAAAGTGGGATGTTGTAGTCACTTGCCCCAAAAGCCTTGAAAACCTTTACCACAGGCATGCAACATCATTATTAGATAACTGATTTCATGAATCAATTGATTTGAAAGCCATTTCCAATTTTGTTATTGTTATATATGCACAGATAATGCAGTGCTTAATGGAGATTTTGAAGAAGGCCCGTGGATGTTCAGAAATGAATCGCTAGGCATCCTACTGCCAACCAACCTGGATGAAGAGACGTCCTCATTGCCGGGTTGGATAGTTGAATCAAACAGGGCAGTGCGTTACATCGACTCCTACCATTTTACAGTCCCACAAGGCAAACGAGCCATTGAACTCCTTTCGGGCAAGGAAGGTATAATCTCACAGATGGTTGAAACCACCCCGAACAAGCCTTACAGGTTAACCTTTTCTTTGGGTCATGCCGGGGACTCATGCAAACAACCACTTGCAGTAATGGCCTTTGCTGGAGACCAAGCCCAAAACATCCATTACACTCCCAATGCCAATGCCACCTTCCAGACTGCTGATCTCAATTTCACAGCCAAGGCCGACAGGACACGTGTTGCTTTCTACAGCATCTATTACAACACGAGGAGCGATGACATGAGCTCGTTATGTGGGCCTGTGGTGGATGACATCAGGGTGGCTTTGTCAGGGTCAAATAGAATTAATGTAATTGGAAGGCTGGGTTTGGGCTTTGGGTGGTTTGTTTTTGTTTTGGTTTTGGTTTAGGTTTACCTTAAGGGATTCTGCTAAATTAAGTAACTAGTTGTATGTGGTGGTGGTGTTGTGTGTATGGTTTGGCTGGGGGGTGTTGGTAAACCATCATATTCCCTTGTCTATGTTGTGGATGTTCTCTCGTTTTAAAATTTTTGTTTTGAGAAATGGGCAGTGAATGGTTTGGGGTTGTCTCACGCTGAACACTGTGTTTGGTACTTTATTAAGTGAAACAGTTATGCTGTGTTTGGTTGAGAGATTTGGAAAAGGATTTAAAAATGAAAAGGGAAAAGAGATGTGAAATTAGTTGTAATGTAGATATATTTTATTTTCATTTTACTTACTTTTTTAAATTTTTTCTTAAATTCTCTAACTAAATACAGTGTAAGTGTCCTCCCTCTTCCCCCATCTCCAGATGCTTCTATTTGGAGCGTGTTTTTTTTGAAGTCGCTAAGTTCACCTTGATTAACATGTTGGAATGGATTTGTGAGTTGGCTAGGGTAAGGTTGGATTTGAAAGCGAAAGCGAAAGCAAAAAACTCTATAGGGAGAATTAATAATTTCATTGAAAAAGTAGTGAATTGATATCAGCCCCATTTTGTTTTCCAGACTTTACATTATGACTTCGAAAATGATGAATTATGGAGTTTGAGGAAGTCAATAGTGATGTGCTATTAACTATTCACAAAATAGGATTTGATATTTATTTGTTTAGTGATTTCTTAAATTTTAATTTTTTATAATTTAAAAAAGGATAAATTATAAATATACATAACAAATCGTTCATTTTATTAATAAATTATCAAGTTAATTAATAATTTTGAATGATGTTAGAAACATATTTTAATTAATAATTATGATAATTTTATTATTATATAGGAGAATAGTTATTAATTTTATTTTTTTTGTTAATTTTGTTAAATAAAAAATTGTAACAAGGGGATATTTGTTAGTGTATTTAATTTCAGATTTCTGAATTTAATTTTCTAGAAATTGAGTTTTTTTGTTTTTAGTGAATATTTTTAAAATTTTAAGTAAATTTGTTTTTTATAGATAAACCTACTTAGATGTATCTATATAGTAAAATATTTGTGAAAAATAATTTAAAAAATTAATAAATTACACAAAAATACGAAAAATGTATTGAATTTTCGTTTTTTTAAAATAATTTTTACAAGATTTCTTTTTAACAAATATTATACTTTTTAAGTATATTTATGTTAAGTATGTCTAAAAGTTAAAAAATTTATTTAAAATATTAAAAAAATTCAGTGAAAATAAAAAAATATAATAAAAATAAAAAAACAAAAATTTCTAAAAAATAAATTCTGAAAATAGAAACCAAATGAAGTGTATAATTTTCTAAGTCATTGAAAATAATCTGCACTTTAAAAAATCTCAAAAAGTAAGACCTTTTTAAAAAAGTTCTTATGAATGGACACAACTTCCATATCATTTGTCCTATTTGTTGATCCACACCAATCCAACATCGTGTTAGTGGGTCTGTCATGTTGAAAATCTGGTCTCACCCCTAAACAAATATTAACAGTGTTAATTTTAATTTCTCTTGACATTCAAAATAAAAAATGAAAATTTTAAATTTTACAAACAGGTATATAAACTGGATCAGTAGGATTCAATAAAAATACTATTTGACCGGATCTTCAACAATTTCATGGGATAATGAGAATATAAAAATTACAATATAAAAGAAAAAAAAAGAAGAAGTTATAACTCCCCTACCTATTCCGAAGGCCGATTGTGTGTACAATTCCTACTTCGAATAATAGGGTTAAAACCTAGGAGAGACAAGTGTCTCTCTCATTTTTCATGACTTTATAATTGTGAATTTCATATTTTTTGGACCTTAAAAAACAAGGTTATAGCTGAATTTTGTGGGCCAATAAATTGACTAATTGATTTGTGAACATTCTGTTGAGAAGAATTTAAAAAGAAAAAATAAAAAGAAAAAATGTAGGTGAAATGTGAATAAAATATATCTATATTTTACTTAATTTCACACACATTTTTTCTTTCCATTTCCAAATCCGTTTCTAAATTCTCCGACCAAACATAATATTAGAATTTGTTGTAAAGTTAAATAATGATTTAAATCATTATTTAAGACACGATTTTCTAAAACTAACTTAGATTGAGGAGAAGGATTCTTAAATTAAGAAAATCACTTTAATATTACATTATTAAGTCTTGTATCAATGATTAGCATTGTTTCATTATAATTTGTAGGCCAATAGATTTTGTGGATTGACAATATATAACGCCCGAAATTTCATTACTCGAATTAATTTAGTCCATTTCCAAGTTATAACACAAGAACATGAATAAATAAAACAATTAAGGTTCTCTCCCGTATAAATACATAATGAAGGCAAATCCAATGCAATTAAATTACAACGGTACCCTTAGACTTACATAATTTTTTTTTTTAAAGAAATGGGTTGAGAGAGGTTGACTCTCTTTATAGAAAATGACATTTCGCATACAAGTAATAAGCCCTTTGGCCGATCAATTAATAAGGCATCTTGGTCTTGGAACAATGCTCTGACTTCATACTTGAAATGTGGTTAACAACATGGGATAAACATGAATGTCCACTAGGAATCCCATGATTCTAAACAATAATAATATATAAATAGTTATGATCATTACGAGTCATAATTATATATATAATGTGTCTTTTTGTATCCAAAGAATATATACATACAAATATCTTCTCTCAAAAGAATCCCTTTATTATTTCATAAGAATCCATTTCTTGATCTTTATAATTCACCAAGTTTGATTTAAAAATATTTCAAAAATTAAATTACACCTCGAATATCACACACACAATGACCGTTTCGACATCTCTATGATTCATCTATCACAATCCAAGTGATCTCAACACGTTATTCATTTTCAAAATCACTCCATAGATCTTTCTTAAGTATGCCTTGTATATCATGTGCAAGGCTCCTAAGATTCCTTATACCTTTCTTCTTTTAGGTTATATAGGTTTGTGTTTGAAGTTATACAAATTTGTGTGAGAACTTATACATTGTTAACCTACTAAGCAGGTCAACTTACAAGTAAAACTATTAAAATAATAGATTTTATAATATACGTGTAAGTATTTTCACAGAAGTGGATAAGTTTTCACAAAATTTGATAAATTTTCACAAAAATAGATAAGTTTTCACAAAAATGCGTAAGTGTGTTTCAAATAATTTAGAACAACACAAAAATGAGTAAATTTTCACAAATTCTGTAAGTGATTTCACAAAATGCATAAGTTTTCATAAATATGCGTAAGTTTGATTCAAATAATTTAGAACAACACACAAATGAGTAAGTTTTCACAAAATCCGTAAGTGATTTCATAAGATGCGTAAGTTTTCACAAATATGCGTAAATTTGATTCAAATAATATAAAACAACACAAAAATAAGTAAGTTTTCATAAAATCCGTAAGTGATTTCAGAAAATGTGTAAGTTTTTACAAATATGCGTAATTTTGATTCAAATAATTTAGAACAATACAAAATGACTAAGTTTTCACAAAATTTGTACGTGATTTCACAAAATGCGTAAATTTGTTATCAAAAGTTTAGAACAACACAAAAACGAGTAAGTTTTCACAAATCCCGTAAGTTATTTTACAAAATGCATATGTTTTCACAAAAATGCAAAGCGTTTCAAATAATTTAGAATAACAAAGAAATGAATAAGTTTTCACAAATCCCGTAAGTGATTTCACAAAATGCGTAAGTTTTCACAAAAATACGTTAGTTTATTATCAAAAGTTTAGAAAACACAAAAATGAGTAAATTTTCACAAAAATCATAAGTAATTTCACAAAAATGTGTAAGTTTTCATGTCAAAAGTTTAGAATAACACAAAAATAAGTAAGTTTTCACGAATTCCGTAAGTGATTTCATAACATGCGTAAATTTTCACAAAAATGCATAAGTTTTCACTTCAAAAATTTAGAATAACACAAAAATGAGTAAATTTTCAAAATTCTTTGCACATTTCACAAAATGCGCAAGTTTTCACAAAAATACGTAAGTTTTCATATCAAAAGTTGAGAACAATACAAAAATCAATAAATTTTCACAAATCCCGTAAATGATTTAACAAAATGTGTAAATTTTCAAAAAAATGTGTAAGTTTGTCTAAAATAATTAAGAACAACACAAAAAAGAGTAAGTTTAACAAATCCCCTAGCTGATTTCACAAAATGGGCAAGTTTTGACAAAAATGCGTAAGTTTGTTTGAAATGATTTACAACAACACAAAAATGAGTAAGATTTTACAAATCCCCTAAGTGATAAGTTTTCACAAAAATGGATAAGTTTTCACAAATTTCGTAACTGATTTCACAAAATGCGTAAGTTTCAGAGAAATGTGTACGTGTGTTTCAAATAATTTAGAACAACACAAAAATTCGTAAGTTTTCACAAAATCCGTAAGTGATTTCACAAAATTCGTAAGTTTTCACAAATATGCGTAAATATGTTTCAAATACTTTAGAACAATACAAAAATGAGTAAGTTTTCACAAAATTCGTAAATTTTCACAAGTATGCGTAAGTTTGATTCAACTAATTTAGAATAACACAAAAATGAGTAAGTTTTCACAAAATCCGTAAGTGATTTTAAAAAATGCGTAAGTTTTCACAAAAATCTGTAAGTTTGTTATCAAAAGTTTAGAACAACATAAAAATGAGTAAGTTTTGACAACATTCGTAAGTGATTTTACAAAATGCGCTAGTTTTTACAAAAATGCGTAATTTTTCACATCAAAAGTTTAGAACAACACAAAATGAGTAAGTTTTCATAAATTCTGTAAGTGATTTCATGAAATGCACAAGTTTTCACAAAAATGCGTAAATTTATTTCAAATAATTTAGAACAACACACAAATGAGTAAGTTTTGACAAATTCCGCATGTGATTTCATAAAATGCAATTTTTGTTTTTATAAAAATGAGTAAGTTTTCACAGCAAAAATTTAGAATAACACAAAAATAAGTAAGTTTTTATAATTTCCATAAGTAATTTCACAAAATGTGCAAATTTTCGCAAAATGCATAAGTTTGTTTAAAATAATTTAGAACAACACAAAAATGAATAAGTTTTCACAAATCTCCTAACTGATTTACAAAATGCGCAAGTTTTTGTAAAAATACGGAAGTTT